ATATTAAATTAACTTTGTTTTTACTTTATCCTACACGGAAGGTAAGTATCACGAAACTTATATTTCAGATATGGACACGTGTGTGTACATTGGGTTACAAAGTAAAATCTATTTCTTCTGTGGCTTATGGATCAAAAAGTTGGAAAAACATCCAACTTTGGCAGAAGTCAGCAGAAAGTAATGTTGGATAAGTAACACAACTGCAAGACGATTTGGCCCACAGACCACCAGTTTGCAGTCTCGGAGCTAAATTGCGAAAATATTGAATATAAGTATAGAACATAGTTTGTAGGTAAGTTGTAGCTAGAACCGAGAATGATATAACCAAAAGCAGTGTTTTAGAAGCATTAAAATGGCCCCATTGCAAGACTGGCGGGAATAGAGATTGAGGGCAGAAAGACCGCTTAAGAACTACTAAGACAATCCAGAAATGAGACCCTAATTTGGAATCAGAAGAGGAGCAATGGGAAAGGAGACAACGGAGGCAAAACATGGTGCCAAGGAGAAATGACAGCATTTTAGAGCTGGGAGGGACCTTTGGAATCATCGATTCCATCACCATCTTCGTACAAGCAGGGAAAGTAATGGAAGAGCAAAAAATTGAACCTGCTCACAATTTGTTTATGACGTCACACTGAATCAATCAAAATTCCTCAACAGTGAATCCAGTTAATGCAATTAACAGAGGGCTTGGATTCTCTTCAGGATGTGGAGAACGAGTCCTCAAATATACTTTCCATTCAATGGATTAAAACGGCAATTCTCACCCTTTTAAATCTGAATTCCAGTTAGTTTATCACAGGCGCGCCTACAAGACTTGCCCAATCAACACTCCTCCTCCAGCCTCAAATGGGTCATTTAGCATTCTTTCAGGGAGTGCGTCCCCTAAGATAACCACCTAACTCTCAAGAAGTTTTCTATTGACGTCAACAATTAAGGCCTTACAAATGAGCCCAGGGCTGTTCATTGGCTTGTTAATTTTCCAACTACACAGCGTTATCGAGCATTTACGACCGTGCCCCACGCAACGCCCACTTTGGCCGGGTGAGGAAAACAGGAGTTGGTCTACGAACGGGAAGCCCGTGGCAGTCAGCGTAGCGCTTTCGGGAGAGGAGTCACTGGGGCGACTCTGGCTGGAGCTGGGCATTTCCTTTCTTCCTTCGGTACTTCGAGCTGCGGGGGCACTGGGCGGGCAGGCACAGCGGACAGTCCGCGCGTCCCTCTACCCTTGCCCAGTGTCCACCTTGGACAGTCAGCTAACAGCCCCAACTCCCTAGAATCGAGAGCGGGAGGCAGTGTCTGGCAGGACGCGGCGCCATGGCTGAGTCGGTCCCACGCACATCGCAACGCTAGCCCTTCGAAGCTCCAAACGTGCCTTCGGTTTCCGGGTGCGAATAGGAAGCTCCTTGGGAAACACCAGAACCCTCCCTTTGAGGAAGGGCACAGACGGCGTCTCCGTTTCCAAGGAAACGAGTCGTTCCGTGACGTCACTTCCGCCGATCTGTCTGGACTCCAGACTGTTCGGAGGAAAAGAGGAAAACTGAGCAACAGCCACGACAGTGGACGCGAGCGTCTCCTCTCTGCGCATGCGCCCGCTCAGCGGCCTGCTTCTATTTATGTGGGGGATCCAACATGGCGGCTGCGGCGACCCTGGCGATGGCGGCGGAACCCATCAGAACATAGTAGCGGGGAAGGGGGCACGGTCCGCACTCACCGTGGCGCCGGCGGAGACGGCTGAGGGTGGTGGAGGGAAGAAAAGCGACGGAGAGCAAAAGGAAGGGCGGGCAGGCACGCAAGGCGGCGTAGAAGCGAGCGCCGGCTCGAGCGAAAGCCGAGGGCCAGAACAGTGGGGATGGCGGAACCGCGCAGAGTAGCGTTCATTAGCTTGTCACCGGTGAGGCGGCGCGAGGCCGAGTACCCGGGAGCTGAGCGCGAGCCCGAGTACCCCCGCGACCCCCCCCGGCTGGAGCCGCAGCCGTACCGCGAGCCGGCCCGGGCGGAGCCGCCGGCCCCGCGGGATCCAGCCTCCCGCTCGGACGCGCAGCCCCCGCCGCGGGAGAAGCCGCTCCCCCAGCGCGAGGTCAGCTGCGCCGAGCCGCCCATGTCGCTGCAGCGCGAGCCCCCGCGGCCGGAGCCGCCGCCGTCGCCACCGCTCCCGCAGCTGCCCTTGCAGCCGCCCCCGCTGCGGGAGTCAGCTTCCCGGGCGGAGCAGCCGCCGCGGCCGCCGAGGGAGACGGTGCGCCTGGAGCTGGTGCTCAAGGACCCCACTGACGAAAGCTGCGTGGAGTTCAGTTACCCGGAGCTGCTGCTGTGCGGAGAACAACGGGTACAGAAGATTCCTCCCTCCTGCCCCAGACCCCGGGAGCCTCAGGACCCGCCGCATTCCCCACCTGGTTTGCACCTTCGGGCGCCCACGGAGCACGTCCTAGTCGCCCCGAGGGTGGGGTGGAGGGGGCAGGGGCCGAGCGGGTGGACGGGGCGGTGAGCGCTGCTTTGCTCCGCTCCCCGGGGTTGCGGAGGCTCTCACCCGGCCGCGCCGACACCCCCCTGCCCGCATTCGCTCCCAGCACCGCGCCGAGCCTGTTTTCCTCTGCACCTTTCGAAACCTCAGATTTTCCTCCTTTCCTTTCTGCTCCCCACACAAAATCTTGGGGCCCTGCAAGCCGTGCGCCTGGGGTTCTCCTTGTGGCGCTCCAGCTGTCGTTCCAGTAGAAAGGAAGAGAAAACCTTGGGGGACACGCCCCCCACTCTGAAGCAGAGAGATTGTGTAACCCCTCTCGTATCATCCTCATCCTCATCACTATTTGTTATGCGGGGCGCCGTGGCTGCTGAGGTGTGCTTGCGTGCGTGTGGTATTTTTTTTTAATCGAAGGGGCTTTAAGAGTAATTAAAGATTTTCAGAGACTAAGGATTCCACTTTAGGAATGGAGAAGGGGGTTGGTTATCTGGTCACGTATTTTTCTTCCTTGCGTTAGTATTGCTAAACCTTTTTAGCTTTGCTTTCTGTGGAGTTTGTTCATATTGTAATTGAATGGGAAGGTGTCTCTTGTTTTATTTGGCGCCTACCCATTATATTCTTATTTGAGTGTGTATCATTAGTTTATAGGAGGATATTATTGTATTGGGCCATTGAAATTTTTGGAGAATGATAACAAAAGCACTTAGCTTTGAATTTTTACAAACTTTATTGAAAATATGTAGGTATGCTTTTGATGTAATTGGTGAACAATGGAGATAGGACAGGGGTTTGTTGGTAATTTTAATTTTTATTGTTGTGGGTTGATGGATCTTTAGAAGTAAGTTAGTAAGGGAAATGATAGAGTAATAGTAAAGAAAGAGAACAATTTCCCCTGTTGTTGAGCAAGTATGCCCTTTATTAGGTTTTGCTTTAGCGTAGGTCTAATGGACTCCAGAAAGTCACTTGTTTTGTTTTCATCCTCAACTATCTTTATAGTTGAGGTGATGACTGCTTAGTCAAAAAGTATCATGTTAAAAACAGTGTCACTAGATTTTGTTTATTTTATGGCCAGCTAATTTTTTGATCATTATTTACAAATGTTGTATGATCAAATCTTTACTAAATTGTTTTCAACCAAGATGAATTTCTAAGGGTTTAGATCATTTTCGTCACTTCCACATATCATATTGCCCTTTAGACTAATTTTACTGCTCCTCTTTATAAATGTGATGTCATTTTTTTCCCAAAAGAGTATTGAAAACATCAGATTGGAGCATTTTTCAAATAAATTGTATTTGACCCGTTATTCTAAGTAGGTTTGCAATTTTTATAAAGTACAGGTGAAAAGCATTATCTTTGGGTAAAAATATATAATAATAGCTAACATTTACTGAGTTCTTACTATGTGCTAGACATAGCTCTAAGCAAGTACCGTACATGGTTTACCTAGTTTGGGTCAGCAGAACTCCATGAGGTAAGAACCATTATCCCCATTTTACAAATGTATGAAATTTTATTAATACTTCTTTCCATAGTAGTACCAATCCTTAGTAAAGCAAAATCTCTTACAATTAATACAGTTTAAATTTAGAGGATCCTGCCAAAACGAAGTAAAATTAGAGTCATAGTAGAAATACAAAGTATTTCTATTATAACTCTCTTTATGCTGTAATACTCATGCCATGGTAAATTAATAATAGACATGTATCTTTTAATTATAAAAGAGAAAGTTTAGGAAAAAAGTTCATTTTGACACCCTAGCTTTGTTAACTTGAGAATACCAGAACTACTACTTTCATGCAATAGGAGAAAGATGAATAATTCCATTTAATTTTTGTATTTACACTATCAATTTAGGAGTTTCTTGGTCCAATTTTCTCATTGTATATTCAGCCATACATCTTTTGTCCTGTTCCACTGAACAAGAAAAAATCCATTGTTTATACAGTGCACCTTTGCAACAAAGATTTGCCACATTTTTCTGTGATTACTCCTAGCGAATATATTTATTGCATAAGAAAGTGTAGAAAACATCTCTTTAAGTAAAATTGTGCTGGATCCATGAATGGAAATCCTCAAGAGAGACCATCAAAAAGTAAAATGTGAACATTAGAATTGGTCTGGAAAGTGGTGGTTCCCAAATCTGGTTTTTCCTTCCCTCTGAAGGAGAGTCCATTTATTTTTAGGGATGTTGTAATATTTTCAATAAAGTTTTAATTTTGAGTTATTGTAATTGAACAGTATACCTTGTAGTAGGCTGAAAGTAAAGAGGGAAGGAAAAGAGATCTTGTAAAATTTCTTTCTGAATGAGATTTTAGTTCCAGATCCTGAAGGTGATAGATGTGGAGCTGTGTTAAAAAAAAAAAAGAGTGTTACATGTGGATACCATCTATATTAGGGTACATTTAAATCGGTCCTTCATAAATGCTAAATCAATAGTAAAACCCTGATTAGCCAGAATGCAATCTGAATGTTTTCTATGCTCTATTTCTGTTAATGAGGAAAAGGACAATTAACTAAGCTTATGCTGGGAAAATATGAAAAACAAAACCACAGGTTAGCTAAACCCTTAATCTTGTTATGTTTATGCAGTCCTGTGCTGTGATAGAGGTGGTTTAGAATGAGGACAGGCATTGGAATCATCCCTATTCTGAAAGATTAGTTTGTTAACCATTTCTGGCTAAAGGGTAATACTGCATTTTAGAAATAAGTTTGGCAGTGATTGATACTAAAGAAAACATTTTTTTAACTCTTAGTACACCAGAAAATCAGCTAACCAGAGCACCCTTTTGTGAACATGATTAATTGAACATTTATTGTAAAAAAGAAAATAAGTGGTTATAGTGTTAATGTAACTATGCTATTTGAGAATTCTGTGGTATTTCATTGTTTGTAATATTGCATATTTTGGATAAGATTTGTGATCTCCTGAAAATGGTGTTGATGCGTTAAGATCAAAAAACAAAATTATTGCATCAGTTTTGAATGTGGGCAGTTGGTAATTTTGAGATTTTTTTCACCTGAAAAAACAAAGATGCTATTTGGCAAAGTCCTGTCCAAAAAAAAAAAAAACAAAAATGCTAACTTAGTTTTAATTGAGGAGGAGGGTTAGTAACTATAAAGAAAATGAGTCCATTTTAAAAAATTTTTTATAGATTGTCAAGAGTAATTAAAAGATATAATTTTGATGCTTATATAAATTACCTAAAATATTTTAGAATGCCATGTAAGATGATCCTTATGAAAAATATAGATCCATGTGTTAATATTTACACATATAAAATGGGTCAGACCAGTAAGACCTAGTATTTGGACTTCCCAGTGCATGAAAGAGCAAGGTATGGTGGTTGGTCAGTTCTTAACTTCAGCCTCAAGTTAAGGCTATACCCTGAACATGCCTACTATTCCTTATTTCCTTATCAGTTTATTTTCAGTAGTTTATTTCCTTTTGGATCATGTTTATATTTTCTATTGGTAACTCTATTGGGATACAGGATTTAATTATTTATTAACATAATTTAAAAAATTGATTCTAAAATTAACTCCTTTAAGCTTTAAGGAGTAGTCCTTTATTCTAATGTCCCAGGTATGATGAATTGTTTTGTGTTCATTCTGTCCATGTTTTTATGTCATATTTTTTAGACTGATCATATCTTAGCTTTTGTATCCAGGATGAAGTATCTCAATTCCAAAGTGGGCAAATCTTCATCCTGTCTGCATTTTTTCTTGCCACTCAGGGTCAGCTGAATCTGTATCTAGTATTTCAGCTGTAATATACTTTCATTTTTAATTACCTGAAGATTAGACTTTAGTAAAATCATCTAACCTTCCTTTTTTTAACTTTCTAATCAATCTTCTGAAACTGGATAAAAATAGTATTTTTATCTATAAATAGCTCCTTGTTTTGACTTCTCCGCGTATTGAAAAACCGTATGTATAAAATGCGTCTGCTAACATAGCAAATTCGAGGATGTGATTTATCTTTTTGTTTGTTTGTTTTGGTAAATGGATGGATCCTGGCTCTGTGTGTGCATGTTTTTAAACCATGTATTATAATAAGCTATCACTCCTCTCTGCTAGAAGGAAGCCATGGTAATATAATCTTTTTGCAGCTATTTCACTTTTCTAGCTTTGTTTAAAAGTATTGTGTATATCCTGAATGGATATCCATTGTCAGGATATTGGTGATAGAGAGATTGTTCATACTGACTCTTCAATAGCTGTAATAGCTACAGATACTCAACTGATAACTCCCAGGCAGATAATTAAACACTGACCCCAATTAATAATCTAGAGATTCTTTTAGAAGCATTTTCTGACCAAAACAGTTAATCTTTCTTAGGGAAAATGGCAAACTAGAGTTGTAAGTGGGATTCTCATTTTTTTTACCTAATGTTTGTGGGATTTTTTTCCTTGTTCTTTGGATGAGGGTGACCATATGATCATTTTGCAGGTGAAGACAATTTGGATTGTTGAGTTCATAGCCACTAAAAAACTGTGCAATGTGTAATATATATGAATGAGTCTATTAAAACTGCGAATATGTTTTGCTATGAACCTTTATTTCTTTTTAGTTACTTTTAATGCTTCTGACTTACTTGTTCATATTAGGAAAGATCGTCTTTCATTATTGATTAAATTTAAGCATATATTCAATTCTGATGATATTAATACAATTATATAACACATATAACATTTTTGAGTATAATTATACATTCAATTATATTAAAATTTAATTGGAGTAGTTGATATATAACAATAACAAATATATAACAATAATAATAGTTGCAGTAATACTAATACTTCTGTTTCTTTTCCCATTCACCTTGAATCAGAAGAAGCTCATTCACACAGAAGACCCATTTAAT